ACTCTCGCTGGCTATGTTTCGCATCCGTATAGTAGGACGGAGCGAACTACTGCACAGTACACTCGTTCTTTGGTCAGCAAATGGATATCTCGCCTACTCTATAAATGACGTAAATTGGCAAAAGCTAGTCGAGCTTTCTGTATCCGTGCTGAGGTTTCGTCACACAGCAGGCCATCAGTACTGAGATAGGTAAAGCGGTCTACACGTTCGACTACTCCACTCCCTACACTTGAAGTAACTAATTCCGATGACAGTTCGCCGTAAGCTCTCAATGTTAAAACTGGACTATCATCCTTAAAAATCTCAGGGTCAATCTATCAGGACGCGCTGCTCTCCCTCGCTTCAGATTTCCTATAGCTTTTTAGACTTCATAAAGGTTCGGAGGGCTTACGTCGACTTGCCATTCAGGATGACTGGAGATCGTGGGTAACCGAAGTGTGGCTGATCTTTAGCACTGATGAGACTCCCAAGATAAGTGAAGCGGTCTACACGTTCGACTACTTCACTTCCTATCACTGGTTCTGGTGCCGATGCAACCCAGTCTTGAAGCAACATTTTGCATTTCGAGGGTGAGAACCGCATGCCGATATGCTTGCATTGTTGCTCAGGATAGCTGCGTTTTGGCAGCGTCTTCACCAAATAGAACTATGTCATCGGCATATTCTAAGTCAATAAGCGAGCCTCCTTGTAGAAGTTTTTAGATTATTAGCTCCTCTCTTAAAAGCCCTTAGTGAACACCCTTACCGCTGGAGGCGGAAGTCCATGAAGTAAGGTGAGATGTAACATTTTCAGGGTCGACCTTTTTTTTCATGATGGTCACAATTCAGCCGTAAATACGTCTATGTCCTGTACGAGCTCAGTCGCGGCCTGAGTAGCTCAGTGGTAACGTCTCTCATTGTGAAGATAGGAGAAATGAGTAGAATCTGCCGGGAAGAATATGTTTCCTCAAGATTACAAGTTGACCTTGCTGACGTAAAAAACAAAAACTATGTCAACTCGGGTTTCCTGTCGACTACTTTCAACAGTCAGCTTACAGATATTACATATCACAAAAATTGCCGACCTAAACGTGCCATGTCGTTGATTCTAGCTGGTAAGGGTTAAGAAAGAAGAGGCTAAATATTTCGACCTGAGCTGTAAACATTAACATAAAAAGAAGATATTCAACGCATAAGGCAAAGAATTACTGTAAACTAAATACATAGTAGTATTATACTTACAATTACCTACCTTTCCAAAATCACTGGATAAGTCATACTTCATTTTATCATCATGAGTACGTGGATAATTTAATTTTTCTTTTGATAGTAATTCACTTGAATTGAATGTTGATGCAAATCGACGAAATGTACGTGCTATAATAAGTACAGCATTTGCAACAGGATGTTGTACTGTTGATTCAGCACTAGCTATAAGATATAAAAATCGACTGGGTGATATGTTTGAACAGATTCTTGGTTTATGTAAAGAGATTGATGATGATAATGATAATGAATATTGTTCAGAGGATTGGTGCTTATTCTATAGAAGAAAACAAATCATACATAAAGAAAATGAATCAGTTTCTATGAAGAATTAGTGTTTTTTTATATTGATCAGAAGAAGATCTGAATTAAACACATGGTTGAATGAATTAATAAAACAGATATAACAAACTACTATAAATGTGCGTTAGATCAAGTTTCTGTATCATATTCACACAACAATATGTAGTCGACGAACGGTATATAAAGGAATTTAACTGATTTCGATAGCAATCTTAATGAAAAGCAATAAACAATGAAAATATAATTCGAAAAGAAGATATGGATGAAAGATGAATGAAATTCGATATCTGGAAGATGCTAAAAGAGTGGACGTATCTGGGTCAATGAAATCGATCTTAGAGTGACATCATCAACAAGTTCTCTGTCTTTATTTAGCCTCAGTATTAATTACTCAGTTGTTTCACAACATGCAAACAATGTTGTACGGTTGTTTACGATCAAAAAGTAGAGTTATTATTTTAAGCTTGCAGTTTTCAACCGAATGGTTTATCTGAAAACGAACTACATTCACTGTAGCAGGGGTGGTCTCAAAGCAATCTGAAATGAAGATTCTTGCTTGATAAAACACTCATTCTAATTATTAAGTGATTAGTGATATTCTATTATAATTGTAGGCATTGAGTTTACATCAATATATGCGGTTCAAACTTTTTAACTGAAAGCTCATTTACATTTCATACATAAAACTGAGTATAAATTTTTCAAATAGATAAAATTAAGCAGCATACAGTCAATAATTTAATGAATGGAAATAGTCAATCCAGCTACCCTTCGGTAGCACTATAAAGCTGATTCTTAGGTAAAATATATTTGAGTATTCAATTCTCAACATTATTGGCGTGATGTACTAATCAATTGTCATATAAACGATTTAAACCATTCTTTACATGTAGCAAAGATACAAACAAACAAATAATAAATGTGACTAACAATCTCATGCCAATTAGTTCTGAAAAATATTGATTAACTAGGCTTCACTATTTTTATGCACAGTAGACTTTTAAAATGGTTTTATGATATGATAGATTTCATATACAACACAAACTAAATGATTGTAGCTGAAATATATTTATGTAGTTAGTGTACATTGAAAGACAAGACAAGAAAGACTAAATATTGCGAATATACATTCAGTGTCTAATATAAATAACAACTATTATCGAATGTACGAACCTATGAGAAAAAATGTAACTCTCGCTTTTTGTTTAGGATACATTATGTTCTCTTCTTGTCAGTATAAAGAAAATTTGCACACTGTTGACGATGTTAATAATGATATCCGAGTGAAGTCAGAAGTATGACTTGATTAGTACATCCAGGATGTTACAAACTTTATCATAACAGATCATTAACAAATAAACTTTCAGTCTAACGTACATGGTTTTGTTTATTAGAACAAACAAGCCAGATGACAACATTCGTTTCAAAAGTAAAACTCCGACAATGAATGTATATTAAAAGAAAATTTCATTTACTTTCATAGACATCATATTACTAAAATAAGGAATGTCGAAGTGGACACTCAAACATAAACTAATGAGTAAGGGGATATGATTTTGTTATGTTCGTCACTTGGTACGCTTGAAGCTATTACGAGTTCATCTTAGTCGATAAACGTGAATGAGACAATTACACCAGAGTCCAGGTAAACTACCTTGAATCACAAACTGCAAAACAGAAGTCTTGGTAAGCGTAGACAGTATATTCTACAACACGTAGCAATCACAATACAATCAAGCACACGACTCGTTTATTTATACATCATAGAAACGTCCTTGGGACAGTTACGAAAATAGAACACTAGAATACACAGCAGCCAATCACAGCCAAGGATTTTCCTGGTGGGAAATGAAATCTCAAGGTCAACTGATCAGCCCATGCTGGCAAACATGAAATCCAAAATGAGGCATTTATCAAGCGAGTTCTGGGGATCTAACATCCCCAACAGGTTTACACTTATACTGTGAATTTCACAAGTTATTGAATACATAGCACTGGACTATTCTTGTTTACATTCACGAGAATTGATCAAATGAATGAATGTAGTTCAGAAAATCATGACAAAAAAAGATAAGAAATTTGAACAATACAAGTTATTGACAGTTTCGTGTTAATGCCTTATTTATTTACTACACAGCAGAAGTTATATCACTGTTATGTTTCCCGTCTTCCGTAGAATATAAAACTATTTCATGATTCATTTCATTGTCTATCATTAAAATGAACTAATAATCATAAAAACATTTGTAGATTGACAATTGTATACTTTAATCAAAACGTGTTTTACTTATCGGCAGCACCGAATAATAGTCAGTTTTGAATAGATCGAAGTAGGAAATTACAGTTTATGAGAATTCAATTCAACTGAATCTCACCAGTGTCAATATTCACTAAAAGAAATCCAATGATCTCAGTTTCAAGAATGTATGGAGTGACAGAAATGCAATAAGTGAGAATACATGTTCACTGTTCAATGATTTCAGATAGATTCAACTGTATAAGGAAGAGGTTGGATAGATTTGTGAAAAAGTAGTGTCCTATTTCAAAGAACAAATAGGCAAAAGATTCATTGAGCCCTGAATGCGGACCTCGCTCCGTCAACTTTGATAGAGAAAACCTAGTGGTGTCATTAACGCTCATATCATGAGTGTGGTACGTACTCGAATACCTAGTGATTAGGTGACGTTCTCATGGATATTGTAACAACAAAAAAAGAACTAAAATATATCAAACTAATGGTTTTTTAAAAGGAATTGATTAGGTTGTAACAATTTATCATAAAGGGAATTATTAAAATCAAAAAGAGTATGAGAAACATATATTTTATTTCACGTTTCAAGCATGTTTTGACTCTATGACAGAAATTAAAATGTATTGTAACGACCTATCTAATTAAGCACTTCAATGCTCATAAAGTTATCACTCATTATTATTGAATACTAATCAATATTAAGTGAAGAGGTGGCACAGTGGTTAAGATGTTCAACTTTTCATTTTTAGTGGTTTGGGGGCCCGGTAATCATCACAAGCACCTCAACTTGGAGTGTGGCTCAAAATCATGTATACGAATATCTATCCTAGTAGATCAGTGAATAATAATAATTATTATTATATTCATCAATAAAAAGGCATACTTTTAAATAATACAAATCTCTGAACCTACGAATCAAATCCTTGAGTATGTACATTGTAATATTTTGTAGAAAATAATAAAGAAAGAAAACTTGCAATGGATACTTACTACTTCTGATGATTTCTCCATTTCACCACTAGGTGGTACAAACATGACAATACGGATAACTTGTGGTCGACCTTGAGTGATTGTTCCAGTTTTATCAAACAATATTGTAGTTAACTAAAAATTACAGATGGAATAAAAGAATGCGGTCTAGTTTGTTCCAAAATCAAGGAAATAATTACACTGCTTAATGTAAGATTTATGCATAAAATTCTTAGGTTGAATATGAATTTAGCAAAAGTATAGCAATGAACCAATCCAATTCAAGAAGACCTATGCTCCATATTTATAAGAACGAGCTTACATATCGTTTTAAACAGAAACAACTTCTTTATAGTGACCCACGGTTCGAATGAGAAGAACTGAAACTACTCATCAACCAACTATTAAACCCATGCTCTGCATTTTTATCAAGAGATTAATATTGTATATCGTGATAGCGATTCTATTACTAGGGGGCCATGTTGAGAAGATATGTTCACAAATGGATACCTGTTATTTACTCGTCGTAAAATTTATGTTTAAAGATGTCTGTCATGTGTGAGATGTTACCAAACACAATAATTATTTTGTGATATTTTAAGCCAGTTTTTGTTCACCATCAATCATCGAAGATAAGCAGTAGACTCAAGTCAGTTGCATTTCAATGTTTATATATATATATATATATATATATATATATATATATATATATATATATATAATATGTATAAAATCGAAATGATTAAACACATAATATTCCGAATTTTATAAAATGCAATAAATTTAAACACACTTTACGCATATTCTCTAACGGTTGACCACCTTTAATTAATATACCAGCTAATGCACCAGTCCCAGTAGCTACCATAACCGCTGTTGGTGTAGCTAATCCAAGAGCACATGGACAAGCTATGGTCAGTACAGTGATAGCCATACGAAATGCATGATCAACAGCTAACAAGAGAACAGAACAACCAGGCTTAAAATAGAAAACAAAATGAAAATCTATGTATGCACATGCATTTAGAAAAATAACGTTCAAAGTTAAATATCATTAACATAAAAGAAACCTAAACACGTATCAATCATGATTAGTGTATCACGAATAGAAGATATTATTACTGCAATGTTTAAAACCAATTTTTTTTTATCTGAAAGTCTGACCTACTAACTTATAAAATAATACTGATCAATAAATAGTTGAAGAATGTGAGTGATATAGTTCGAAATTCATCTACCCTGTATAGACAATTTTATTCTATACTATTTTATTCCAAGAATTTATCACGTTTCTTTGAACTATGCATTCGCTGTTTCATTACTGTGAATATCATTAGCACTATTGATTATTTTAAGGTTTTCTACAAGTCATCATATAATCGATTTTATTGTATTGTAATGGTATAACTTGAGGTGAATTGATCTGTCATTAAACCTGGGATGTCAGACTACTAAACAAATGGACAATCATGGACGTTGACAGCTGAAAGACTATCTTACATCATTCATTTTATTTCATGTACGTTATTAATGAAATAGAGTAAATGACATTAATACTACTGACAACAATTATAGAATACTAAAGAATCTAGTTCATGTAAAAAGTTGAAACCTAATAATCAAAACTTGAGCGTCTATATAAGAAAGCAATAATTGTTCCACAGAATAAACAAAAATATTAAAAAACCAGCGTGTATGAACTTCAGTGGAAACAGTGAGTCACAAAGTGATGTCATTGAGTGTTATACCAGACAGATTATTAGCCGTCTCAAGACTATATGATCGACGTGAGATGAATTGTTTACCCAGTCAAAGTCATCATCCTCACAGCTCTATCCGAATCAGCTCAACAACTTATTTACATGAATGACTTGTGTACATAATCGAATAGTGACAAAATAAGTAGATTTTCTGCCTTCACAGGTCATATTTAATAATAATTTACTAATGAAAATCAAAACACTGCTTGGGTCACATATCGAGCTACAGCCAAAAGAACGTTTAATATTCATGCCAATATAGAAGCATGACAGTTTACGGAAAAAAAATTTGATCGAATCCACTACCGTAAGCTCTGTTTTAGCTAAAAGTTTTATACGTAAATGAACATATGCCAGATGAATCCACATTTGTAACAGAGAAAATAAACAGTTACAAAGGTCAAAAAAGCTTAAATACATCAATAAGAAAGCCCTCGAGTTATGAAGGTGCAAAACAACTCACTTCATAACCTTTTATGGTTGTTGGCACCAATAAACCCAATGTGATCCATAGAATGAAAACTGTTAATGACACAAAGCAAATAAATGGGACAAAATAACCGGCAATCTTGTCTGCAAGCTGTTGTACTGGAGCCTACAATGCGAGGAAAACAAACACAGGGAAAGTATATATACATTAGCACAAATTTGTGGAGAAACATGATCGAAATCTATGAAAAGTTTAGTAGAGGAGTGAGGTGCTTGTCACATCTTCAGTTCTAATCATTAATTAGATAAGATTACGTTGTCCATTTGATTGAAGTATGGTTACCCTCTGGGGTTCAAACTAACAAAGATATGTTGACTGAATAATATCCTCTCCTAAGTGGATCCTGAAGAACTTCGTATTTGATTGCCAACAAAGCTATCGATTGCGTGTGTTCTAATCGCATGTTGGAATGATCCACTTATACTGAAAATCAGTCACAGTTTCAAAAGTTAAATGCTATCAACCTCTTTAGTGTTTTAGCGCAGCCACTATTATAAAGGCAAATGATGATTGGATAATCTCTGAATATAAATAACTATCATAGAAAAAAAGTAGTAGATACACTAATCAGTCACTGAATATTAACTACTAACATCATTCTGCTTAACTCGTCATATTGTTTATCTACTTTTGTAGGTCAAGTTTGCTGTCCTTAAAAACAGAATGAAAGCCATACAATTTCAATTATTCTTTATCATTGATGGCAAGACAACCTAACGTAAGTTACAAAACAATAAACTGTGTGTCGATTAGAATATTTATAGCTCAGAGAGAAAGTTTTCAAAGTGTTCCATCCCCTGAGGTGGATGGTTTCATTATGAAGATTCTATTGTTTTTCTAGACAACATCATCCATCAACTCTCATACTTCACAAAGTGAAAAATTAGGATTTCTCTACAACTGATTCTTTAACACAATATTCTATTGGTCTGAAATTTCAGCTGGTGGTTGCCGATAATCGTCCAGTGGTTTGTCCCACCTCTATCTTGATTATTTTTTCTCCTAACCTGATTACTAACTTCAAGTTATTTACCGTTTTTCTAATCGGCTGATTTCGGTATGTCAATCGATTGATGAGTAATATTTGTTATTTAACAAAATTCTAATGCAGCTCAGTAACGTAGTGCATATCTAAACATAGAGCTTTCAATAATACGTTTTATATGAAGGTTAACCATACTGTTCAATCATCACAGCTGAAATGAAGCATCATTAAGGACTAGGAATGCTCAATGATACCAGAATAACTAATACATTTTATAAATGTAAACTACAGATGAGAGGAAAATTTATGGAAGCCCATGAACTAGATTACTTCCTTACTTACTTACTTACACCTGTATTCTCTAACCTACTCTATCCTGGGCTTATGATTATTATTACGTAATAAACTGAAACATTTATAAGTTAGCATTTCCTAATCATAAACAAATAGTTAAAAATTGTTGCTTTTTTGCAAGATAAGCTAACAATAGACTCACTTTCGATGTTTGCGCCTCTTCAACCAGGCGAACAATCTGAGATAGGGCTGAATCTTCACCAATATGAGTCGCTTTGGCCCATACAATACTACCTAGATTAACAGAGCCACCAATCAAATCTGATCCTATATTAACACAGAAAAAAGAAAGTTGTAATTAGTCAATATAAATCATGAACAATATACATTTTGTGTTGATTCAGATAAATTCTATTAGATTAGTGTGCAGAGTTTTTCAAGATCTTTTATCAGTTCAACAAGACAATAGTCAACGATAACGGCAGCGATTCATTTAATGCTAATCTACAAAAACAACAACAATTACGTAAGTTACATGTATTGCAATAAGGATAACTTTGTTTCTATATCTGTAGATATGGAGAAGTCTGAGTGAACTAGGTTATTTATTGTACTAGGTCCAAGTCTCAGTGTGAACATCAACACTAGAATACAAGTACATCAAGTAGGGGATTCTGTTGTTAATCATTAAACCAACTTTAATGAACTTTTTCAGACTAGCTATGATGTTTTAAAATAAGAAAGGTAACCAGGCAGTATTATGAATTCTTACTGAATTGCTCTGTCTAATTATACCATCATGCAGTTTAACTATATTGTTAGTTAAAGTAGTAGAGCAAGTAAGTATATTATAGAATTTAAAATATTCAACTCAAGTGTAGATTATGATTTATTCCACACACAGAGCCATGATTCAGATTGTTAGAAATTCAGCACCCTTCCGGTAAAATTTCGACTAGTTGTATCAATCAGTGGACCAAATAGGAGTAGAATAGAGTGAGGTTAAAACCCTTCACCGTCATCTATTAATCACTTAGTAGTTGTACTACTACACTGTGTGTATCTTAAATAGTTATGTGTTAAGTACATAAAAATGATGAAATACATAGAAGTTTGTAAGAAACAGCTATCATACTTAATTCAGTCTATAATATCGCAGACATTTTATTTTAAGGGTTAATATTTTCCAGTTGTTGATACGAAAATCTATGAACTGATCAGAATTTTTGGTATATATATATATATATATATATATATATATATTTTGACTCGAAAATCAATCTTCTTTAGTTACAACTTTTTAGTTAAGACAGATTACAGCTAAAAGTGGAATCTAGGACGCTGATTTAGTTTAATTTGGGAGCTATCAGATGCATATACCACCATTTCAATGTTGAAGTGTTCTCACAAAAGCTTGACCCCATCATATTTCGCTTCAGAGACTAACGTAATTCCTACTAAGCTGCTGACTCTGGACGTACCACAAACATTCAGCTTGAGTAGTAAATTCAGATAGAAATGAATCTTACTTCAACTGTCTCAGTAAAATGTTACTACGAGTTAAACGTGCTGAGCCCCACTATCATGGATTAAACCATTGGTATCGATTACCAAAGGAAAACATACACACATTTATCCAAAATGTTTTTAAATAAAAATAACCATTCATAATAATTGATACTTTTTCTTTTATTCACAGTCAATCAAATAACGGATAGTAAGAAATTAACCAAATAATATGTAAATAACTGAGTGAAGAAACAAAAAAAATAGTGCGGAGATGTGACAAAGCATATCGAAACTCACAAAAAGTGCAGAAATAACTAACCTGCACTGATCAATAGGGTGCTAATGTTATTCCTCTTATTATTACTATTATTATTATTATCATCATCAGTGAATAGTTCTCAGATCACTTAGCTAATGACAAAATGAATTGATTCCTACGAACTTAAAGCTCTTCAAACAGTAAATTCACGGATTTTACATAGCGAATTTCATGCCGTACAAAGGCCATGCTGAAGAGCGTCAAACTAGGGTCGATGCTCCACCCCCATTGAATTGAATTGAGACATCAGCTCATGTTGAATATGTTAAGTCTTGCAACAGTTTGAGTTCGATATACCGAACCAAGAGCTTAAGGCAAATACACTTTCCAAAATTATTATTTTAAGAAGTTCATTTTCTCGTGTTTCAACATAATTCCTGTACTGAATTACATTTATTTAAGCAATCATTAACGTGATCACTACTGTATGCACTCATCATCATCTTATACTATCATGATTAGTGATATAATTCTGTTTCATTGTTATCAGTAAATTATAGGTTTATTTGATTGGTCTTAGATCTCGCACACATATATGGATTTAAGTTATTATGATATATATCAGAATAAAGCTCGATAAAGATCTAAGTGAAAAAAATTATGGTCAGCTGTAATACTCTGTCTAACTAAATAGTCCACCCAATTGATTAGTAATTATTAGATGATGTACGTCTGGAATAGCTATCCGTCTCAAATCCTCAGTTCCTAAAAAAAAAAATGAAAAATACTTCGAACCAAATAATAATTAACAAAACGATCCCACCTCCTCTTACACACACACACACACACAGACTCACACAAACGGAACGGAACGAAACCCAAAACCAAACAAATATACAAATGAAACAAAAAGATTTACACAAGGCAAACCATAATATAGACAACTGTTGCAACATACTTGTATGTATTGTTGAATAAATCTTCCAGATAGATAATAATGTATAGAAATTAACATATGAAAGTATGCATTATTTAGATAAATAATACGTAAACATTTATATATATATATATATATATATATATATATATATATGGACAGGAGGACAAATTAACAGCAACAACAACAACAACAGGAATGGGTTATTAGGAATGAATCATGATAAAAGTGCATGTGACGGAAATCAGAAGACAGGAAAATTCATCCCAAGTAACATTTATATCACACTTATTATTTTATTTTAAGAGCATCTAACTCAAATTTCCTCATAAAACACAACTGATCACATAGTATATGACATTTATAATAATAAATCAAACCAACAAACCTGGTTTTTTAACAACTGGCATACTTTCTCCAGTAATCAACGATTCATCACATGATGTGTATCCAATTAAAATTCGGCAATCAACAGGAACTTTTTCACCGGGAAGAATCTTTCCAAACCAATAGTGAATTAGAAAGACAAAACAAAAAAAAGGGCTAATGATATTTTTGTTTTCGAAATAGTAATGATTTCACGTATGATAAAGTTTTTAATTATTAAATTAAAGCAACATTTTATATTCCATTCTCTTGTTGAGTATCATACAATTTCGTGAATCAGATTTTCTTCCTAATACTAGTAGCCTCGGTTTATTCCATGCATTAAAAATCTTTGATTTAGTCGTCATCAAATGCAGGGTCTTTCTACGTAAATTGATCTAGAAAAATCGTGTTTGGAAGTACAGCTTGCCTTTGGATTATTATCACAATTATTTAAAATAATACATGAGTAGCAAATAAAGGCATTTCTATATTGTTTTTATTGAAATTTTATAGTAGTGAAAAGAGTAATTCACTATTCGGATAAACAATAAGTGAAAACAGAAAGTGCAGTTGCGCAACTCCGTGAATTGATCAAGTTAGACATTAACACCGTTAGGTACCGGCTCAGTGGTCCAATGGTTAGGCGTTCGCGCACAATACCGGAGGTCCTAGGTGCGAATCCTGCGGGGTGCAGGAGTCGTGGATGCGCACTGCTGAGGAGTCCCATACCAGGACGAAACGGCCGTCCAGTGCTTCTTGCAGGTTTCTAATGGTGGTCTAACACTGATCACGATTCATGGTTTCAAAAATGTCTAACTTCACAACCTTCACAACCCCGTAATGCAAAACAATAGTAGTTGCATATTAAAGTAAAATTATCTTATCGATAATTTGATGATTCACGTGGAATAATTCATTCATGGTGTGAGCTATTTATATACACACTCGACTAAAATCTTTCTAGGCACAATCAACTGAATTATAATCAAAAAAACAAGTTAGCAACAAAACTACAACAGGGAGTTTTTCCTTCCTTTGTGGAACCAAATAGTTGAAAGATGCCATAACGAAAGATGATAATAGATGAACGGCAACGACTATTATATTGACAGACATAACATTAAATCAAGGTAGATCTTCGTTAAACTTGGTTGGTTGACAGTGTTTTATCTGAGTTTCCCTTTTACTTATACTGAAAAGCAAAGAACCATTAGAACTCCCACAATGCGAAGAATGGTACAAGTGAAGATTCCGTCAATTCTAAACAAGACTCTAGTTAAAAATACGCTGATTTATAGATAAATTTTTACACCGGTTTGATTAAGTCTTATCAACAAAGCTATGTAACTCATGTAGGATCGCTTCGTTTCCAAAACATTACATTCATATATGATTAGTACTTATTTGGATGAGTAGGTGGTTGTATACTATGAATGGATATATTGCAAGTGAACTGTTTTATGATAGAACAAGAAGTCAACGAAGTTCTTAATAAGGTGAACTCGGGAAAATGTTCAAATGTTCTTTTGTCAGATTGCTCTCATTCTAATCATCTCATTCCCATCGCCTATTGTTGAATCCCGTTAGTTGTCAATGTTTTATGTGAATCACCCTGTTTACTCTTATACTTGAAAATAAGGAACCACTACAATCTTATTAATTGGTTTATTGCCATTTATCTTTTTCTTATCATAGTCACTTGTAAAACCTATCAATATTAATATAGAGCAATGATAAGCATCTTATTGAAAAGAAAGATAATTCTTAGTACAATTTAAATATTTACATTGTATTAGATATGATGTAGGCAATTAATGAATCAGGGGTGTTTGTCTGCATGTGATGAAAGCAAAAAAAAAATGAAATATGCAGCATACACAACACAACACACTTTGATGTGATCAGGTTGAATGGAATGCAGAAAATAATTGACTAGAGAACCTTTGCACATGTATCTTTTGTTTAAGACAACAGTTGGTAGAAAGAGAAACTGTCAACAAGCGAAACAAACCAATTCAAAACATAATCCATTATTGTTTTATCGACTTGTCATAAACTGTCTTAGTCTATTAGTTAGTTTATGGTGCGCGCTACTTATAAGTAGTATATGATGCCAGTGTAAACGTAATGTCTGGCAACAGAAGATGGGGGAAGATCAAGAAAGGAAGAGTGGGAACACAATGGAATTTGTATGAAACGCATGAATAGTGAAATGTCAGACAATGGATTGAAGATTTGCAAATTAACGATTTACGATATGGTTTTCCTATTTTACTGAGTAACTCTGTAATTTTCGTTAAATACAATTGGGTTGCCCTCACCTGTGTTCTCCTTCTTACTTACTTACTTACTTTCGCCTGTTACCCCAAATGGAGCATAGGCCGCCCACCAGTTTTCGCCAACCAACTCTGTCCTGGGCTTCTTCCTCCACTTCTGTCCAATGTTTGTTCATTCCTCTCATATCTTTCTCTATTTCACGGCGTAACGTATTCTTTGGCCTTCCTCTTTTCCTTTTGCCTTGAGGGTTCCATGTGAGGGCTTGTCTCGTGACGCAGTTAGGTGCTTTTCGTAGAGTGTGTCCTATCCACTTCCACCGCTTCTTCCTGATTTCCTCTTCCACTGGAATCTGACTTGTTCTCTCCCACAGTTCGTTGTTGCTGATGGTGTCTGGCCAACGAATACGAAGTATTTTACGTAGACAGCTGTTAATAAACACTTGTATCCTCTGGATGATGGCTTTGGTAGTTCTCCATGTTTCCGCTCCATACATTAGAACTGTCTTGACATTTGTATTGAAAATCCTTATTTTGGTGTTGATTGATATCTGTTTGGAGTTCCAGATATTTTTCAATTGTAGAAATGCAGCCCTTGCTTTGCCAATCCGTGCCCTCACATCTGCATCCGATCCACCTTTCTCGTCGATGATGCTGCCCAGATATGTAAAGGTGTTAATGTCCTCCAAGGCATCTCCATCAAGAGTGATTTGATTGGTGCATGTTGTGTTGCATCGGAGAATTTTGCTCTTTCCTTTATGTACGTTGAGACCTACTGCTGCAGAGGCTGCTGCTACACTGGTCGTCTTCTCTTACATTTGTTGTTGCGTGTGAGATAGAAGAGTCAGGTCATCTGCGAAGTCCAGATCGTCCAGCTGCGTCCTAACTGTCCAGTTGATACCGTGCTTCCCTCCAGATGTCGATGTCTTCATAATCCAGTCGATTGATGACCATGAGAAATAGAAATGGTGAGAGTAAGCAACGTTGCCTGACACCGGTCTTCACCTCGAAAGAGTCTGTTAGCTGTCCTCCGTGTACGATTTTGCATTTGAATCCATCATAAGAATTCCGTATGATGTCAACTATTTTCTCAGGCACGTCGTAGTGTCAAAGAAGCCTCCATAGTGTTGTTCTGTCCAAGCTATCGAATGCCGTCTCGTAGTCGATGAAGTTCATGTAGAGTGGTGAGTTCCATTCAATTGATTGTTCCACAATGATCCGTAATGTAGCAATTCGGTCAGTACACGATCGATCCTTCCGAAATCCGGCCTGTTGATCTCGAAGTTGGGCGTCTACGCAGTCCTTCATTCTGTTTAACAATACAATGTTGAAGACTTTGCCTGGTATTGAAAGAAGAGTGATGCCTCTGTAGTTCTCACACTTGCTGAGATCGCCTTTCTTTGGTATTTTGATCAGGTATCCTTCCTTCCAGTCTGATGGTACTTGTTCCTCATCCCAAATCTTCTTGAAGAGGATGTGAAATATTTTCGCGGTTGCTTCTACATCTGCTTTCATTGCCTCTGCTGGAATGTTGTCTGGTCCTGCTGCTTTGCCGTTCTTGATTTGTCTGATGGCCATACTGATCTCCTCAATCGTAGGTGCGCCAATATTAATTGGGAGGTCCATGGATGCTGCTTCGATGTTGGGTGGGTTCAGTGGAGCTGGTCGATTCAATAGTTCCTTAAAGTGCTCTATCCACCTATTTCGCTGTTCTTCAGTGTTGCTGATTACTTTGCCTTCCTTGCTTTTCACTGGTCGGTTCTGGTTTACGATAGTTCCCGGCGAGCTTCTTTGTAGTTTCGTACAATTGTCTCAAGTTTCCGTCTCTTGCAGCCTTTTCCGCCGTCGTTGCTAGATCTTCCACGTATTTTCGTTTGTCAGCTCTGA